GACATGGTTTTGCCCAATTACCTCATGTAAATCCCAGGGGAGATTTCTCCATCTGCCATCATGGATGATCGATGATACACGTACTAACTATTTGCAAACACCTCGTATACAATTGGAAGCTGATCATTGCATGAGTAACAAGAATACCAACTTATGTACTGCAACAAACCTACTGCAAAAAAGCCATTAAACATGCCAAATTAGTGGAACCAGTATATATATTTATTATGTCCTGTTATGTTAGTTTCCATTTATTATAAAGCTTGCGGAGCCCTGGTTCCTCTCCGTGTATCCTTTAGCTTATACTCCATTGTTGTTTTGATGGCTGTGGTCTCCGTCTGAGGAAATTCTTTCTTGACGTATGCTACAAATAAAAGTAACTTTTTATAAATGGAAAGAAACTGAAATATTGTATGAACGTAACAATCTTCCAAAAAAATTATTATTGTAATACACAATTACCATTTAGCTCTACCATTCCAGTGCATTTGGATATATTTTGACTTATATCCTTTGTGTCACTGACACTGTTAATTACTAAACAAATTTATAATGTCGCAATGTTGTAACCAAGGGGGTATGGTAATAAATATATTCACTGCAACATCTAATTTTGTGAGATCCATATAACGTTCGTGACGTTACGAAACTAGTGCCACATAGAAACTGTGCTCACTAGTGGTCTGCATGGAAATGAAATTCATGGCTATGTGTAGCACGATTGTACATACATGCACCATTAGTATGTATAAGCACACTAAAAATAACCAGTAGCTACAGACCTATTATGTATTTAAGTCCCCCCCCCCACCAAACGGTGATGGTTAGTATTGGAGATTGGGGGAAAATTATTTAGTTTCTGCATTGAATTCACCTTACCAATGATAGCTTGCACCTTGTTGCTATCGAGTGATGTGCGCCCCACTTCGGTCTTGCTGTTGAATGCTTTGCCAGTCACTGAGGAAGTGGCAAGTTCCTCAGTGCTGAAGATAGCGCTCATTAGCCCTCTGGTCAGACTGCGGTGGTCTTTCCTGCTGACCAACTCCATTTTTGATTTTGGAATTGGTATACCAGGTCCCTAAAAATGAATGGTTATTGATTCACTTTTTAAAATTTTAACAAAAATTGGCATACTTCAACAGAACCAAATTGCTACCATTAAATGGGTTACAGTGGGATGACATGAGCCTATTAATGAAATACATTTAAAAATAGGTCTCATATTACTTTTCCTGATAAGTTAAATTGTGCAGATGACCGGAGGCCTTAGCCAAAAATAAGGCAACATATTACATTGCACTAAATTACAGTTCAACAGACTAATTTGCAAAGGTATACCGGTATATGTACATACCAAATACATCATGAATTCGGAGTCAACATTTTCTTCCAAGTTACCCTCACTTTCATCAGCGACAAACGGGGTTAATGCAGGTCGACTGCTGACATATCTGGATGTAGAAGGCTTGGACCTATTACAATAAAATTTAATATAAATTACTATAGTATATAGTATATACTCATTACTCATTTACTAAGTACTCATTTTTATAGTGCCATATAAACCTTTTATTTCGTTGATCTACTTTCATGCATTTTATTAGTATTTCAAAGTGCTTTCAGTAAAAACATTAATCATCCCTAAGAACAAAGTAGCCCTTTAGTCATACATTTACATCATAACTTGTACTTTTTTACTTTATTTGCCATTGCCATTGCTGAATTTTGTATGACCTTTTCTAATTCATATTAATTAAATAACATAACAAATAACATATATATATGTATTATTATTATTTTGGCCAGCAATTAATTCATAATACCTTGTATCTGCACTTCACTCGCTGAAAGTGTGCTGCCAGATGGTCTTGAACTACTGCGGCAGTCTTTTGCATATCCTCCAATAAATTCTTCATCCCTCGATAGATTTTCGGGAGTCCTAAGAATATAATTATTATCACTCACTATCTATCTAATCAGTTAGATAGTCTAATTTTTACAGAGAAATTTGGACATTTAATAATCAGTCTATCATAGTATCATAATTTTGGCACGACTGAATTTTCCAAAGGTGATAGACTGCATTTATATTTTATTATCAGCAAAAAAACACTTCAGATAAAACCTTTTTTTCAACCAAAACAAAACATGTTTTAATACAGTTTAAAAATTAAAGCACTACAACTTTTTCGTGCCAAACCTGTGTAAATATGGAATTAATTTTACGTAAGAAAATATGATTTATTATCAGTTTACTCACCTTGGCGAAGAATTTCATTTTCAGTTTGCAGCCGCTTATTCTGACTTGTCAGCAGCTTTACTTTCTTTTTCATGAAACTCATTTCATATCTGTGACCTCCATCACTTTCATCACTCCTGCTTTCACCTGATGATACCACTACTGAGTCATCACTGTCGTCGGATGGCTTTCTAGCAATTGCCTTCTTTACTTTCAGTTTCTGAATGATATGATGTGCTTCTTGGAGTTTTGCTTCTTTCCGGGCTTTTTGAAGGACCTAGTTTGAGAAATTATACCAGGTTTTAACATAAATATTATGCTTTGTCAAATGTAGCAAGCTGCAGTCAGCCTACGCTGTACATATCTAAACTCTTTAAGAATTATGTGTCTAATTGTGGCATGGGTTTGGGGGGATTTTAACACCTTATTCAATAGGGTATGCAGGGATGAGAATGAGGTCGAAAAGAAAACACTGAAAATTACCCCTCCCCCATCTCCTCTCTTCCCCCCCCCCGTTTTTTCAGCCAATCCACTTGAATCTATTCTTCACGTCTTTATCAACTTCAACCACGAGATGTTCATCATTTCTATCGATAATGCTGGCCATTACTGCGCGTTCGAGTGTGAAATAACAATGCAAAATGATAACAAGAGGTTTCCCGCCTGTCTTAATATATATACTCTCTACTATACTTGCTTATACTCTCTACTAACTATACTCCCTTATACTCTCTACTATACTCGCTTATACTCTCTACTATACTCGCTTATACTCTCTACTATATATGGCTCGCAGCCCGTGGCACCCGTGTCACCTACTTTCACCACAGTGTGGCTGCGCACGTGCATGGATAAAGGTGGCATTGATTGATGTGCAGGGGGGGAGTGCACATTGTTTATGCCGCGTGCATGGGCCATGTTCATGAATATGTAGGGTGTGGGCACCGCTGGGATGAGAGTGCAATTTTCGCACAAGTGAAATCAAAATTTGGACAAGTAGAAATTGCTTCTTGTTGCCCAGCAGAACAACCACATCTGAAAATAAGCGTCGAAGCCTGGATCAAAACAGACACTCCGAGAGCCAAACCTGAGAGCCAAAACATATCCAAGGATTACCCCCCCCCCCTGATATTTTTTCATCAAATTTACAGATCTCAAAAACGGCGGCCACAAAAAATACTGAAATTTGCGGATCCGCGGAGAATTCTCATCCCTGGCGGTATGGGGGCATTTTAATTAATACGCTTCTACATAGTAAAAAAGCAGGTTAAATGATAGCACATATTTTTGACCCATTCAAAAACAGAATATTAACTAATCTGGCCGCTTTGAACTGTTTTGTGGTACAAAATAATGAAAATATCCACCACGAGGCATAATAATTAATAAAACAATGAACAACAATTAATAATCTATAATTAGGAATTAAGACCTGACAATAATTAAGTTTTATTAATAATTTAATTATACAATGCACGCCAGTACATTGGCTGATTAGCGTATGCGCTATGCTTCGAGCTTGCTGTTGTTCCATGCATCCCTGCTTTTATTCCACGTACACCCTGAAAGATTTTGGATTTAATTACACCTGAATACACATTACGCTACTTACTTGATGTGAAATGTTAGGTATCACGATCTCTGTTTTATCAGCATCCTCTTCGCAGTTGGTGTCACTTGCGGAGGCCGACGATATTTTTCGTTGCCTTCGTTTTCTGCAGCCTCTGCCTCTTGGGCTAGCAGTAGCATTTAGATCAGCTTCTGTATCTGACGCAATCCATTCTTTCTCAAACTCCTCAAGTACTTTCCATTTATCTAAATTGCAAATAATATAACATGATATGCAAACAACAACTGGAGTGTCATCATTAGCAACATCATGCAACTGATATTCTTGTTCATTTCCACTGCTCTGCATGTCATCATCACCATCGTCGATGGAGAAGCTGAACCTGGAGGGAATGACTGGTGTGATCATGACCCGAAAATATTCCCAGGTTCAAATGTCGACACTGGACAAGTTGTCACTCTAATACTAGCATTTGCATTACGGCATTCTTTAACCAAGATGGCAGTTTCAGACCTACTAGCGCTATTTGTAGCAATCTTTGGCGAGACTAAATACCATCATCAACGTATTTCCTCAATAAATACTTTTCTGAAGTGAAGGGAGTTATTGAGCTTCACTTCTACTGTTCCAAATGTGACACATATCTTGGTAGTGATATGCAGGCACCGCATGAATGCTGTGGTATAACGTTTTCAAGGGAATGTCTTGTTCAACAGGGCCAATTTTTTATGGTGTTACCTCTGGAGCCCCAGTTAAAAGAGCTGCTAGAAATGGACGGAGTTGCAGAACACCTATCATATCGATTCACTCGGAAGAAAATAAACAACTCTAACATTGAGGATATTTTTGATGGCGCATTATATCAGGCAGTCCATGAATTATCCTCCAATGCAGACATCATTTCAATAACGTGGAATACAGATGGAGTGCCTGTTTTTAATTCATCAAATTTTAGTATCTGGCCTATTCAGTGTGTGGTGAACGAACTGCCACCCAAGCTGCGCAGGCAGAATATCTTGTTGTCTGGGCTGTGGTTTGGCACTTCTAAGCCAGTCCCTAATATATTTCTCAAGCCGTTTGTTGAAGAATCCAACAAGCTTTACAAGCAGGGACTGCACTGGAAAATCCCTGTCACTGAAATAGATATCAGTAGTAAAGTATACACACTACTTTGCTCATGCGATGCGGTTGCACGGTGTTTAATCCAAAACATGAAGCAGTTCAATGGCACGTACGGCTGTCCGTGGTGTTTACACAAAGGTGTCAGGATTGAAAAAGGCAGGGGCTCTGTCAATGCGTACCATTATGAATCTTCACCGTCACCCTTACGCTCAGCAGTACAGACTGTGAGAGATTGCACGGAGGCAGTAGAAAATGATGCACCTGTTCACGGTATTAAGGGGCCATCAGAACTTATGTTGATGCAGTTATTTGACTGTGTAATGGGATACTGCATTGATTATTTGCACTGTGTTCTTTTAGGAGTTACAAGATGCTTTGTTGGCCTCTGGTTTGACAGCAGACATCATGTACAAACCTACTATATCGGTAGACAGGTGAATACTGTGGATGAGAAACTGCTCAGCATTAAACCACCAAACGCTATTACACGTGCTCCTCGATCAATTGCGAAAACAAGAGCTCACTGGAAAGGATCAGAGTATATGAACTGGCTGTTGTACTACAGTCAACCCTGTCTTACAGGGGTTTTGCCTAGGGAGTATCTGCTACATTGGGTACTTATTGTGCATTCTATGCCTATCCTGTTATCAAAGAGCATTTCACCTGAAGACTTGCAGAATGCCACTATCAGGATCCACAAATTTGTTCTCTTTACAGAGGTGTTGTATGGAAGGGAGAACATGACATTTAATATACATCAGCTAATTCATATACCTGACTGTGTAAAGAACTGGGGCCTCTCTGGCGATATTCAACATTTTTGTTTGAATCAAACAATGGATTGCTGTTAAAGTTTGCACACGAAACTCAAGGTGTTCCGTTACAGATTGTAAATACATTCACTGTGTTGCGCCATTTGCCAGTGCTGTACAACTGGCATATAGCTGGTGCACGGAATAACAATGTTGAGGCCTATTATAAACGGATGATGAAATTATCGTATGTCAGCCATGCAGAAACGCTGCAGAATAATGTTACTGTTTTTTGTGCTCCTGCCCTTAGAAATCCATCTGAAGCAGAGTTACTGGCTTTGGAGTGTATCATTGATGTGCCAGTTCCTGAACAGCTTCTATTTTATAAACGGGTTCTTCTTGAGAGGCAAATGTACCACTCTCAAGCATACACCAAGGTCAAGAAAAGAAACTCTTTTACTGTGAAGTTTGTTGATTTATCCGTTGGCCGAGTTGCATGTTATTGTTTAGTTGAAGGTATATGCTATGCACTATATTATCCTGTCACATTTGTGAACAATAGATGTATTGCTTATGATTCCCAGACTGGTGCTTGTGCATCACACATAAAAATTGAACAACGCATTGGAAATCAGCTGCTTGCTCAACCAGTGACTAACCTCACGGAGAAGTGTGTGATTATCAGAAAAGGCCAACACTTTACCCATAGCTTCTGCTGTTTCATGCCAAATTTGATAGAAGTAGACTAATTCCCTGTGCTGAGACTTCATGTGTTCGTTATCGCTTCTTGATCCTCCGTCAGAAATCCTGACAGCTCACCTGTGCTATGCTCTAAATATGTATGATGATTTTAGTGTCGCTGTTAGCATGGAACTGGCTATGACCACTTTATGGTATGAATTAAACATATTGCAAGTTACAGATCACGCGTATATAGTTTCCCTGTCGAAGTCGGGAAAGGTAGTTTACAGATCGACAACTGTCCGCGCTAGCCATACTAAAGCAGCTGCCGGCCTCCCAGCAATAGTCAAACAGCTAGCACCCTCATTATATTCAGACCTGTAATTCATTCATGTATATATTCTCAATTCGCAAATTAAGGTCAGGTATCGTATAATCTGGCTCGGCTGACGCTAGCTAAACTATTTTCTAATGTTTAATATTAATTTCTGTTCATATATATAATTGTTATATATATATATATATCAAGGGTATATATTAAGAGATTATATGATGTATATTGTTTCAAGAGCGTCTTAATAAAGCCTTTCTCAATCTAGCATTCTGCTTTATACGCTCTTGATTCAGATTGCATGTTTCTAAAAGTAATTGTCATGAATTACGAATTTACTGTGTCATTAATGATCCAGAAGTGAATTTTAGGGGGGGGGCGAGTGGGGTATGAAACGCCCGAGGG